GAACAGAAGAGAGAGATTCACAGATGTAAAAGAGACAGATACAAAGGTAGCGAAAAAGGTGAGGTGAGTACTGTAAAAGTTGTGGAATAGGGATTATAGTGGGATCATGCTAGTTTGAAGTCAGAATTCAACTGCCGGTTTATAGACTTTTATTGCCCCAATTGCACCCTGTGGAGGGAAGTCTATTGTACAGTTCATATTTCTAAATTTAAATTCCATTATTCGTTCATTAAGTCCATGATTTTTTAGCTTCACTTCAATCAATTTCGTTGCCAATGACCACGAAGTCAAAACATTTTCTTTACTATTTTAAAATAATACAACTTCAACGCAGTAGTAATGAGATAGACAAATTTTAAGTCACTAGAGCTGCACAAACAGTATGGTTTTGTTTTAAATATAATTTAAATTACCAGATAGCGCAATAATTCTATTTCTAAATCTATAACTGACGTTGCTATCTCATTTACTTCATCTCAATCTCTTCCTTTGTACAATAATTTCAATGTGACTTTTCACTCGACTCATCTTTATATGTCATTTATACCATTTATAAATTCTTCCAAAATTCCCAAGACATTCGGGGGAGGGGGGGGGGGGGCACATGGNTTGGGGGGAGGGGGGGGGGGTGCACATGGTAGGTGCATTTTTAATTTGAAATTTATCGATATATTTTACAATTTCCATTCAATCACTTTATCAGCAAAACATGGATTAAGCGAAGAAACGTAAATTGATTTATTGGAAGGAAATCGAAAGTGAATTTATCTTTAAAATTCTAAGCCATTGCTTGAATGGCATCTTGAAATAGCTATTTTTTTAATTTTTGAGAAGGCAAAATCCACGTTATGTCATAATTCACTCCCCCCATTATAATAGACAATGTAATTTTGTCGTCATTTACTATTCAGTAATAAACAAGCCTCTAAACAAGGGGACATTTGCATTCAAGCTTAACTACAACTTCTAAATTTGGCCACATTGGTGTGGTAGATGGGTTGGATTTTCGCGGGACTTAAGTTGTCTCAGGTTTTATGATTAGTGGCTTAATTATGGATGCATCTCGGGGTGGGGTGGGTTGACGAACAAATGCCATTCGCAATTAGGCTAGAAATTGAGTTTTGTTTCTTAACTGTTTAACTTCTAAGCAAGTCTTAATATCCCTGAAAATAATTTTCTAGAATTAAACAAGCATTTACGAGTAGCATATAAGTCAACACAGCCATAGTCTCCGTAATCGATATTAATCTGTGAATTTATATCAAGTCATGAAGGGTGTACGATAGAGTTACCTCCACGTGGTGCACCCTGGGCAACGTATACTCATGCGGCAAAATGGCCTATTAATCGGCAGTTGACTTCTAACTTCAATGGCCCCACTGTATGTCATATACGACCCCTCCCACAGTAAACATCTTACCTTTTCTCTGCCTTTTTGTCTGTTTATTCTGTCTCTGTTACATCTGTGAATCAATATTCTGTCCCCCCTCTTGACTTTTTGTCACTTTGATGTTCGTCCTCCTCTCTGAGAAGCCCTAAGTCAGCCAAATGGCTAGTGATAACTATCAAAAAGCCTGCCATTTGAAATAAATCAATATTAATTCATTAATAATTAATATTTTGGCCAGCTTTATTGATCCCTCTGATGGCCTAGCAGCCTTCTGGATCCTAAAGCTATTTTGCATTGCTCCTACAGCATTAAATCGAGTTCACACTATCCTTATGAGGTCATACTCTATCTTGCGAAGTAATTATTATTTAGAGTTAGAATGTCATGTAGCCCTTGAGCGGTCAACACTAGATCTCTGTATCCTAATAGTTTTTATCTCTAGAACTGGTTATACCAGCCTCCTCCCCCCCCCCACCTCTTGCGAAAAAAACATGTTGAGGGACAGTCTTCCGCCACCATCACTCACCAGCATCACTTCCAACTCTTACGAACTACGCCACGCCTTTTGGTCTTCATTGCCCTCCCACCAATACATGAATTGCTTCCAACTACTACCTTGGTAAATACCACTTCAAAATTTTTGATAGGAATTTTTCGAAAATCCTTTTGGATAATATATATACTTCCACCTTATTGACGTCATAATGCAAACCAACAACAGAATAGCGTTTTTTTACAAATCAGGACTGACTCAAGTCGTGTTTTAACAGGTATGGGTGGGTGGGTGGGCGAGTCCATATCTGTTAGAGGATTGTAGTGAGAAAGAGAGAAGGAGAGAGAGGGAGTGAGTGAGTGAGAGGACACGTCATTATATCAGTAGTTTATAGGTGACAATGTAAAGCATCCTCAAATTACGGAAACCCATTCACAAGCACACACGCACACGCACACAAACAAGGACAAGAAAATATGCGAGGTGGGGGGGGGGGGCGAGATAGTTGGAAGGAAGGAAAGTGTGGACAAATGGGCGGAGTAGAGGAAGAATACTCTTGGTAATATATAACCATCCAACAACAATTCACCCTTTACTTACATACATAGGGACGAGAGAGAGCATAATTATGAGAGCACTGAAGAAAGTGTGATTAAGGACTCTCGCGTTTTCCAGATTAGAGACCAATAAACAACAAACGGACAGGACCAAACGGGACTGAAAATTCGAGAAAAGGTTGGTTCATCGGCAAAAGAATATGTATGTGTATGTGAAATGCCTTGTCATTATCCCTTGGTCAAATACATAGCAAGATTGAAGACAGACTAGGGAGTTGTTGGAGAATTTTCCTGTAAACCGATCTCTTCTGGTGTCTCAGGAGACAAGCCCAACTTTGTCTGCTGTAAATTTGGTTGATTAATTGTGGATGAAAATTGAGGAATCGTTTCTTCGCCGTGTGGAAGAACCGCGTTAGAACCTGATTTGCTGTGAGTGAATGATGGTTTGGGCTTTATCTCACCCGGTATATCCACTGAATCCTCTTGTAAACTCCCTAGTGACTCCTCACCTTCTACTTCTTCAAATGGAGATAGATCTGGCGACAGATTTGTCGAGTTTATTTGGCTGCTTCCATTCATACTGCCAGCTTCCCTGAAAGAGGAGTGCCAAATTAGCTGAGGTCAACCCTTCGATCAATACTCCAGCGCTCTTAGTTGACTGGTGGGACAAATTAATTTTACCTCAGCTTTTCCAGGCAAAAATCAAATTGGTGGAAACCCTAAGATACTCAAAAAAAATCAATCATCTATCTCAATGGTAAATTGAAGCACTATTTTGTCTACCTTGACAGTACCTATCAACCGGGGCTTTTAGCATCCGTCTTCTCAACCTTCTCTTCCTATTTATTACGGGTTTCCATTTTGATAAATAAGGGCCAATAGAAATTTTCGTTTTCATTCTTACATATGTCAGCAATCTCCCACGCACTCTGTACAGATAATGTTACTCAAGATAATAACTTGAAGAATATTGAATAGGCTACGTGGCGCGTGAATCCTCCAATTAAGTAAATTTTTTAAACAGCATAAACTAGACCAATATCTATTAAAACCAAAATTATATAACTCATCTATGAATTGCTTATTTGAAGCTGATTCCTATGCAATCTCCCCCTCCCCCTCCCCCACCCCCCACCCCACCTCCATCCCTCGTCTGGCGGGGGGCGGGGGTTATAACAATACTGATACAGTGTCAACTGTTTCTTCCTGTGGCATAATTAACATAAACTGTTCATTTGCCTTAATGTGATGCAAATATTAACGCGAAAAGAAAACGGTTGGGGGAGGGGGGGGGGGGGTGGG